AGATCCTAGGTCTCAAGGGATGGGCCTGCTTGGCCAAAAGCCCTTTGTACTACACAGCTTGGCAAAATGTCCTATTATGGATGTTCTATACCGGGTAATGTCTGTTCCCTTTTTAAAAGAACTTGGACATAACCACTCATTAGAAACACCCTACCTTCTCATCAGTGTTCAGTCCAAACTCAAGTTCTACAGCTTCTCCTACTAAATCCTCATAGAAGTTTAGTCACACTTTAACTTCTAGAGTGTACTCTAAGACTCCTGTACCTGTTTCCACTCTTATGTTTGTGTCACTATAGAGAACTTCCTGCTGAACTCCAGATAAAGAACCCATCAGTGATGTCGCCTATGGTGACTGATGGAGATTGGAAGCCAACACTGGACTCCAGAAAGCATGTGAACATAGAGGCTTTTTTCAATGTGTAGAAAGACCCAACTAGGTTTTGAGTCCTGTGGACATCCCACTGGTTCTGAACTCCACATGTTATGTAGGTGTACCTGCACATACCACCAAGGAAGAAGATGATCCAGAATGTCTTCCATTGACGTTCACAATTCACCTAGATCACATCCAAACCAGTAAAAAATGTTTTGGTCTTGGAGTGCAGGGTAAATATGTGCTAATGGAAAATGACCCCAGTCTATGTTCAGGAAAACCAATAAGTTAGGTCCAAAGTCTAGATTCAGTTGAGGAAAGGGAATCTGTTCTGACAGAATATCCAGACCAATCTGTCCTTCTGCTGGGGATCCAATTTCCAGTTGAGAAATAAGATCTGTCCCTCCCTAGACTCAGGAAGAAAATACTGCCTTTAATGAGGAAGTAGATCATTTTGAGGACTCTGAGGCAGAATTTGTGTCTGAAGGCAACTTAGAAGACAATCCAGATTTAGAGATTGCTTCCCCCCTTATTTAGAAAATCTTTATATTTCTTTTTGGTCCTGATTGTTGTAAAATGATCATTCTAGTTATTTTTCTAACGTTATTAAAATGTCAATGTTTATGTTATGTTATACAATTCATGAGCCTTAAATGTGTTTTTTTTTCAACCTACAACGTAAAGCACCATGCACATGTGTTTTGTGTGTGGGAAAACAGAGTGACAGGGGGATGAACAAGAGAGCCTACTGGATATAAAGGGAATGGTTAAATGCACAGGGAGTTGCAAGGAAGCCAGGCCATGCCTGCATGTGGTGATAAGGTGGCTACAACAGATCTAGGACATACCAGATCAGATGACCTAGAAAGCTGTTCTGTCAATTGGGACATATGCTACAATACTCATACTGGTATGTGGGACTTTCTTCCAACAGTGAGCTCAAGTCTGTATACATATTCATTGTGCTTTGGGAAATATTGAAGAAAAAATTGGCTCCATTAACATAAAAATTCTACTTAGGGCTGAATATATTTCACAAAATACATAAGAAATATTGACACTGGAAAGTATAAGCCATCATCAATAGAAGAAAGAAGGTTTACATAGATGGACAAACAAAATCAGGAAGCAATTAAATCAGTTATATGGAAATACATGTTATATTCATTACATTTTATATAGTATATTATATGATATATAAGATCGAATATGATTTTTCATACTACAAGGGCTTTTAACTTTTTCAATCTTAAGTATTTTTTTCACATAATATTAGTGTAAAACATTATTGGGGAAAGCGGTAATATAACTTTGATTATAATTATATGAATACATATTTTTGTGTTTCTAGATATAACACTGATTATAAATAGATGAATAAATATAAACATATATTTGTATATCTGTCTATGAGGTGAATATAATGAAATAGGCTACACGATGTATAAAAAGGCGGTTATGAGTTAGTATATGAGACTCAGGCCTGTAATCCTAGTGATGTGGGAAGCTGAGTTCTGAGTTTTAGTTTCTCTTACTCCCATGCCATTAGATTTTCAGAGGAGACCTGGTCCCTCGAGTGTAGCCAAGTGACACGTATGCAGTTGGATCACACTCTGTGTGCTATGACACTCTTATGCTATGACAGTCTACTCAGTTCCTGTGCCAAGATGGACATCTGTAGAACATCAGATGGAAAGTTGGCATTCCCTCCCAAAATGTTTTTGACTATCCTGAATTAAACCTTATTTCCCTTCCCAAGCTGCAAACACATAGAAATATGTCAAGGGCTCAAGAGAGATGGACAAAGACTTACAAATACATAAAATTATATACTTTTGGGGGGTGCCCAGTTGTCAGCTTGAACTCTGGGCCTGAGTGCTATCCCTCAACTCTTCAGCTCAAGGCTAGTGCTCTACCACTTGAGCTACAGGGCCACTTCTAGCTTATTTTCTTTTTGCTTATGTGGTTCTGAGGAATCGAACCCAGAGCCTCATGCATGCAAGGCAAGCACTCTACCACTGAGCCACCTTTCCAGCCCCCAAATTATATACTTTGTTTCAGTAATTCAATGACAAATCATGAAAGGCATATCTTGATTTTTCTTTTTTTAATGGAAATGGGAATATACACTGAGTGCATTAGGGAGTAGGTGATAGTTTGGATGCTGAGTTGTGGAATGCACTCCTGGGCATGGGAGACACTTGCCTTTGAGAACTTGTGTGGGGATGCGTCTCCGCACACAGCTTCACAAAACAATGCCCATAACTTGTATGGTGTCATAGCCATCTTTCCATAACAGCAAATAGGTGTCAGGCACTGATCTTTCTCTGAAGTGGACTCAGCAACACAGAAAGGCACAAAGAATGAGAGGGAATGACTGCTAGCCACCAGATATCAGCTTCAAGAGCTGTCCTGACCAGAATCTAGGATAAATTGAGCTGGAGAAGGCTGATCCCCATGCAAGGCTCCTGAGCACTAAGGACCAGGCACTATTATAGGTGTTGGAGAAACAAGTGAATGTGGCTCTCTCCTCATCAATTTCATGCTGAAAAGAAAACCAGAAATCATAATGATAATTTTTGTAAATCAGAAACATGACATTGGTAGTTTTGTGGCAACAATTTCACAGCGGGTATGTGAGGAGATATCCCTGAGGAGGAGATAGCTAACCTGAGAGCCATCATCCATGCAATTAACTAGAAGCAGGGACTCCAGGCAGTAAGAGCAGCAACTACATCCCTCAGTGATGGGAAAGGACGTAACTTGCTTCAGAAAAGGAAAACATCACTGACGTGCTTGCTTGTGAAGTAAGAAAAAAAAGGTACAACGAAGAAAAAAAGATCAGACATGAAGATCGGAATAAATTATATAGACATTGGATGCTGCGAGTTACAAGGAGAAAAATTCTGATGTTATTCTAAATCTGACATGACCCACTGGAACCAAAGTGCTCAAATAGTACCTAGACACATCTGATTCACCTATATACTTTTAAAATGTGATTCTAGCCAGGCTCTGGTGGCTCACAACTGGAATGCTAGCTACTCGGGAGGCTGATACCTGAGGATCAGGTTTGAAGCAAGCCCAAAGAGGAAATTTGGAAAGACTGATCTCCAATTAAACACCAAAATTATGGACATGAAGCTGTGTTAAACTGGTAGAGCACTAGCCTTGATAAAAAATTAAGGGACAGCACCCAGGCTCTAGGTTCAAATCCCTGGACTTCACAAAACAAAGAAGTCAACAAATAAAATTTGGTGCTCAGTCGATCAGCACTTAGCATTCTACTTCAATGTGTTTAGTATGAGCCTAGGAAGTTACATCCTTAGCAAATGCTCTCCCCTCATATTCTGCTTCATTACCAGTATTCAAATGCCTGGCATTAACAAAGTCTCCTCCCAGTTAGCATAGCAATCTACCACTGGGAATTAATAGATATATTTTGATTAATCATGATCTATCCACACACATCAAATGAGTGGTAGCCACATTCCACTATTCTGAATGATTTTGCTCCCTCTTTGAGTTAATAAGGCTTACCATTAAAAGCTATAGAATACTTATCAAATTAAGTCAACAATCATCATTCTTCGACCCAATCTTGTAACCTATGTTATGTTTTTTTTTTTTTTTTTTTGATGTCGATGCCCTGTATCTTGTATATACATTTCTCTAGCTTTGGGGGGAGAAGGGAAAAAACAAATGCTTAACTAGGGATACAGTTTGACCCATTTTAACAATGAGATCAAGACACTATGTTCAAAAACGTACTTTACAATTTATGCAGGGAGTGGGGAGGTGGGATGGAAAGGAGTAGTTGTGGAGGTGGAAGGGTAGGGATGGTAGGGGAAAAACAAAGGAGGAAGTAACAATGCTTGAGAGGAAATGAACTCATTACCTACTTTATGTAACTGTAATTCTTTGTACATTATTTTTACAATAAAAAACGTATTAGAAAAGATGAAAAGACCCAGAAACAAAACTACATACTTACAATCATCTGATATTCGACAAAAGAGCGAAAGATGTAATGTGGAAAAAACATAGCCTTGCTGGGTGCCTGTGGCTCATGCCTTTAATCTAGCTACTCAGAAGGCTGAGATCTGAGGATGGTTGTTGAAAGCCAGCAGGGCCAGGGAAGTCCATGAGACTCTTAGCTCCAATAAACCTCAAGAAAATGGGAAGTGGAACTGTGGTTCAAGTACTAGCCTGGAGATGAAATGCAAAGGGGTAGCTCCGAGGCCCAGAGTTCAAGCCCCACGACCAACACACACAGACACACAGACACACAGACACACACACACACACACACACACACACACACACACAGACACACACACACACACACATACACACACATCATAGCCTCTTCAACTATTGGTGTTGGGAAAACTGGACATCCACAGGCAGAAAACTAGAAGTGGATCTCTGCTTGCACTAACATCAACTCAAAATAGATTAACTATATTAAAATCAGCCAAACTACTATAACACAGAAAAAGGGTGATATTAGAACTTATAGGTATTGAGGTGCGAGCTGGGCAGCTGCACGCCGAGCACCAGTAGTTGCACTCCAGATCCTGCAATCTCACACCGCCTGCCTAGACCCAGTAACCGCTTACTCCAGTTGGCCCCTGCGACAGGCGCCACGCATCGAGCGGCGCCCAGCACTCTGGGCAGCTCTGCTCACCGCCCTGGCTCTGTTCCTCAGGCCGCCGGTGACGAGGGTCCCATCTTACGCTTAGAGCCCTGTGATGCCAACGCGCTGGCTCAGTGCAGGGGTGTGCCAATCTGGTGCCTGAGCCAGGCTATGCCTGCTGCCTGACATGTACTCTGCCCTAGGGCCAGCCGTGCGGTGTCTACACCGAACGCTGCAGCTGCAGCTAGGGGCTCAGCTGCCAGCTGCCACTGGGCAAGCCGTGCCCACTGCAGGCGCTACTGGACGGCTGCAGGTTCTCCCCCAATGCCAGCATCCTGGCCAGCTGAGGCTTACCTGCTGCTGGTGCCCTCCGCCTCAGGAAATACTAGTGAGTCGGAGAAGGACCGAGGCACAGGGAGCGTGGAGAGCCATGCCCTGCCCAGCACACATAGGGTGCCTGACTCCAAGTTCCATTCCATTCACGCAAAGCTGGACACCATCAAGAAAGGTCACGCGAAGGACAACCAGCGCTATAAAGTTGACTATGAGTCCCAGAGCATGGACACCCAGACCTTCTCCTCGGAGTCCAAACGGGAGACAGAATATGGTCCCTGCCTTAGAGAGATGGAAGACACCCTGAATCACCTGAAGTTCCTCAATGTGCTGAGTCCCAGGGGTGTGCACATCCCCAACTGGGACAAGAAAGGATTTTATAAGAAGAAGCAGTGTAGCCACTCCAAAGGCAGAAAGCGGGACTTCTGCTGGTGCGTGGACAAGTATGGTCAGCCCCTCTCAGGCTTCAAGAGCAAGGGCACCGATGACGTGCACTGCCTCGGCATGCAGAGGCAGTAAACCCCACTGCATCAGTTAAATTGGAGCTCCAATACGCCTTACTTTGCACAAAAGACTGCCACGGACAGAACAGCACCTGCCTACAGCCTCAACTTATATTTCTTTTTGTGATGACTTGGTTTTGTGTGTGTGTGTTTTTTTTTAAGAAAACCAAAGTTTAGACAGAGATTTTTGAAATGTCTATTGTTCCTTTAAATGGTAAACTTGAGCATCTTTCCACTTTTCAGTAGTCAGAAAAGAAAATTAATTTCTCTGTTGCTTTCTGTAAAAATAACTGATACTCCTGCCCAAAACATCGGATTTGATCCCCTTCTAGAATCCTCTCCACATCTGCCCATTGGAACAGCTGACCTTCTGCCTCCCTCACTTCAGTGGCTATTGTAGAAGACACCTCTTTGCCCTCCGCCCTGCTCAGGCCTCATGGAGAACAGGAAAGTCAGAAACTCCAGTCACCTGGACAGGACATCTCTACCATACATGAGACCCCTGGCCCTCCTGGAACTATCTGATTCCAAGGCATGGACCCCTGGGCCACAAAGCTTCTTCATTATCTGCAAGTGACTTGATCTGCTTGGAAAATACTGGAGACATTGAGGTGGAATATAACTGACCAAGAAAGTTCTATAAAACTGACCAAAAAAGTTCTAGCACATTTTGGGAAACTTTTAAATGCAGATCTTTCTGACTTCCCTCCATTAGGCAGCTTTTCAAGGATGGAGCCTAGTGGAAGGCCCAGGGTGGCCTTGGCTGTGGTCCAGCAGGGCATGGAGGAGGCTGGGAGTATACCCCACACTTCACCAGTAATGGAGTAATCGCTCTGGAGACAACAACAACAACAACAAAATGTTTTCTAATTTAACTCCTAGTTTGGGGTTGAGGATAATAAACTATTTAAAGGCAAAGGTTTATTTTCACCCCTCATCTTTATTCTTGACCTAACAAAACAATGGTGTTTAATGTTATCTAAACAGGAAAGATGAACAGCTTGTTGAGAAGCCTCATAGGGACACTGGGAGCACATAGAGAATAACTTGTGTTTGTTGAACTTGGAGTCCAACTTATACTTTACAATTCACACATATATGCAGAGAGAGTTATATGTTCTCAATAGTTAACATTGTATACAGCATAGCCCAACTATAATAGGATCCATACTAGATAATCCTAGACAGTGTTAGATACTGGAAGGTGTCACTATGGCCGTGACCAGGAGAAGACACTCAGTCCAGGCTGGGCTTTTCTCTCCCCAAGGCCAAACCCATGGCAGCGTTGGGTGTGTGGCGATTTTCCTGTCCTACACTGCAGAGAGCTCTCCTTAAGAACAAAAAGAGGCCTCAAGACAGTCTGCCTACTTATTATGAGCTTTCCTTTATTTTTCAAATTTTTTGGGGGGGAAAGTATTTTTTGAAAAGTTTTGTCTTGCGATGTATTTATAAAAGTAAATAAAGTTTTTACCATTAAAATAATAATTAAAAAAAGAACTTATAGGTACTGGCAGGAACTTCCTGAATAGAATCCCAGGGGCATAATAGATAGGAAAGAGACCCAACAAATGGGACTACACCAAAGAAAAAACCTACACAGGCTAGAGACATAGCCACTAAATTAAAAAGACAGCCAACAAATTGGGAAAAGATATTTACCTGCAATACATCAGACAAAGGGCTAATTTTCAATGTATACATGGATCTCAAGGAACAACTCCTCCGAAAACTAATAAACCAATCACCAAATGGGCAGAGGAGCTAAGGAGAGACTTCTCATAAGAAGAGGTAAGAATAGCAAAGAAACATATCAGGAAAAGGTTCATCATCCCTGGCCATAAAGAAAATATAAATCAAAGTAATCCTGAGATACCATCTTATCCAAATATCTTGAATTAGACAACAAATGTTGGTGGGGAAGTGGAGAAATTAGAAAATGGCAAGGACATTTGTACAACCATGTTCCTTGCTGCTCAATTCACAGTGACAAGAAATGTATACAACCCAGATGCCCCACAATAAATGAATGGAACCAATAATTATGCCATCTATATACAATGAAATTTTACAGAGCCATTAGAAAGGATAAAATAATGTCATTTGCAGGGAAATGGAGACACTAGAATAAATCATGTTAAGAAAGTTAAGAGAACATCAAATTGACAAATGGTACCTGTTCCCCTGATATGTGGAAGAAAGGTTTAAAACACAATGGGATATGACATACTGTACAGGACTCTAGGCATCATTTACAGTAAGAACAGAAGAGGAAGCATTTGGAGAAAATCACAAAGTTGTAATACCCAAGCACCTTTTCTATATAATACTATATATATATATATATATATATATATATATATATATATATGTACAGAGAGAGAGAGAGAGAGAGAGAGAGAGAGAGAGAGCGAGAGAGAGAGAGAGAGAGAGAATTGAATTGCAATGATAAGGAAACAAAGGAACTTTTCTTAATTTGTCTTTTCATTTTCTGATGAATCTGTATTCTTCACCTAATATACAGGGAAGATGGGGGAAGGGCACAGAATTAGTGGGAAGTGGGTGCAAAAAATGCAGCACCAGAGCCCTCTGGCTGTACTGGACATTGATGAAAGTGAACCATGCAAGTCGAGGGTCAAGATGGGAGGGAGGGTAGGGAAGAGATTGTGGGAACAGAAAGGTAACCCTGCTCTATATCACCGCTAAAACAATTTTTTTTTAAAAAAAGAGGGTTCCCAAATGAGAACATATGAGAATAAGAAAATACAGAGCAGATAATTCTTTTTTTATGTCCTTGGTATCTGATAGTTTCAATCAATATCTATTGTCCTACCAACTGAGTCATACCTCTAAACCCAAAAGTCCTTACAATATTCAAATTTTTCATTGATTTCTTCATATTTTCTATTTACTTTTTGGTTTGTGTGTGTGTGTGTGTGTGTGTGTGTAAGAAATGGAGTTTGATCGCAGGATCTAGGTGCTATCCTGAGCTTCTTTTTTATTCAAGAGTACACTCTACCACTTGAGCCAAAGCTTCACTTCGGGATCTTCTTGAACAGTTTATGGGAGATAAAAGATTCACAGAGACGTTTTTGCACCGCTAGATTCAAATCATCATCTTCAGATCTCAGCCTCTGGAGTAGGTAGTATTATAGGCATGAGTCAAGGCTTCTGACTTATGAATTGTTGTCCCTTTTTAAAAAAGCTGGTGCCAGTCGTTCATGCCTGTAATCGTAGCACCACAGGAGGCTGAGATATGATAATTGAGTTTTAAAAACAACCTGGGTAAGAAAGTCTGTGAGACCATTATCTCATAATCTGGTTAGCAAGAAACCAGAAGGGGCACTGGCTCAAACTGGTAGAGTGATAGCCTTGAGCACAAAAGAACAGGGACTGCCCCAGGCCCTGAGTTCAAGCCCCACATATAAAAAAATGTAAAAAATTTGCAATCACTTGTAATCTCAATATCCTCAATTGGTGGTGTATCTAAAGTTAATTTGCATCTCACTTCGTATGTATTTGAGGGGGAACTAAACATATAACATTTTTTTAAAAAAAAATGAGCAGTTGGGTTCAGGTGGCTCATGCCTGTAATCCTACCTTTTCAGGAGGCTGAGAAATGAATATGGTGGTTTAAAGACAACCTGGGCAGAAAAGTTCCCATGAGACTGCTATTTCCAATTAACCACTAAAAAACAAGAAATGACACTGTGGTTTAAACTGGTAGGGTAGAGTACTAGCATTGAGCAAAGGAGTTCTGGGACAATACCCATGCCCTGTGTTCAAGTCCCATGTCTGAAGGAAAAATAGAAATCAGGGCTGGGATGTTGGCTCAGTGCTAGAGTGCTTGCCTTGCATGTTGAACCTTTGGGTTCAATTACTCAGTACCACATAAGCAGAAAAAGCCAGAAGTGGCATTGTTCCTCAAGTGGTAGCTGCTAGCCTTGAGGTGAAGAACTAAGGGACAATGCCCAGGCCAGAGTTTAAGATCCATGATGGATAAAAACAAACAAAAATAGTTCAAACATTTAAATGATGTGCACAATAGACTATATACTAAAGATGAAAGATTACATTAATGAATTAATAATTAAAGTGATCAACATTGTTTCGATTTTGTAAGTGGTGAATATAGCAGAAAAAGTAATAAGAAATAATGATTCAGTTCTAACCACTCATATTGTTTTAAACTTATTTCTACTTTTAAACTAAAGGGGCACATAAGTATCATTTTACAAAAAAACACAAATTGTACATGTATTTCAGCCTGAATTCCACATTTTATAATTTTCCTTTTAGTAAACAATCAGTATATTTTCATATAAAATACTTGTAATGCCTTTATTTAATACTTACATTCTAGTATTTGATTATATCATAATTCCTCCCTTACTTCTTTTCTTCATAGCCTTTCCTCCTTTCTATACTAGCAGTTAAATTAAGGGATTCATGCACTTAAGGTAGGTCCTCTAAAAATGAGCCACATGCCTGCTCTTTTTGCTTTAGTCACTTTTGATTTATTGGTCATGTGGCTTGAACTCTGGGCCTGGAGACTGTCATTGCACTCTTCAGCTCATGGCAAGTGATCTACTGTTTGAGCCACAGTGCCACTTCTGATTTTCTGGTGGTTTAATGGAAATAAGAGTCTCACAGACTTTTCTGCCTAGACTGGCATTGAACTGTCATCTTCAGATCTCAACCTCCTGAGTAGCTAAGATTACAGGCATGAGCCACCTGCACCCAGCTCTGCTTTAGCCTTATTTTTTTTTGGGGGGGGGCTCAACTCTGGGCCTGGACACTGTCCCTCAGCTCTTCAGCTCAAGTATAGCACTCTACCACTTGAGCCAAAGTTCCACTTCCAGTATTTTTTTATTCTGCTTATGTGATGCTGAGGAATGGAACACAGGGCTTCATGCATGCAAGGCAAGCGCTCTACCACTGAGCCACCTTCCCAACCCTGCTTTATCCATTTTTATGACAGGGTTTTCTGTTTATGACCTGGCCAGCATGGTCCACTATCCTTCTTTTTACCTTTTCTGAGTAGATAAAATATAAAGCACAATGCATTGGGTTCAGATATTGATTGAGATCCAATATTGTGAATGTTTCCCTGGGCTAGCTTC